AAGAAGAAGAAGAAGAAGAAGAAGAAGAAGAAGAAGAAGAAGAAGAAGAAGAAGAAGAAGAAGAAGAAGAAGAAGAAGAAGAAGAAGAAGAAGAAGAAGAAGAAGAAGAAGAAGCCTCTGCTCTTTGTCGGGCCTTATTTGGACAGGAGATAATGCTTGGTCCATGTGGTGAGGTTTGGCTCGGGGACAAGGATCTTTGAGGCATGCGGTTTGTGGCCTGCAAGCTGCATTGCCTCAACATTGGCTTTTTACAGAAAAAGAAAAAGGAAAGAAGGGTTAAAGACAGTCAGGGAGAAGTGAAGAAGGAGGGAAGGATGGATCGGAGGGTCATTGAGTTGGAAGAGCCCTCTCAGGCCATCCACGGAAGGAAAAAAAATGGTTGGTTGAAATACCTAATAGTGGAACGAAGGAGACCCTCCGCTCTCCTGACCAGACATAATCAACATGACAAATACAGTTTTTGTTTCTTGGGTGAGACTAATTCCCTTTGATCCTCCCATTCGTGGGTTAAGGAAACATTGCCACTTTTCCCATTATCTGTATCCTCTCCGGATCAGGATTCTCACCAACAGGAGGAAGTGGAGTTGTCCAAGAAAGCTCACATAAAAAAACCCCAGTTCTTCTTTTAAGGCGCTGCAATGGTTTTCTCTCCTGTATTTTTTCCTTTTTCTTTCGTATTTTGCCCAATAGAAATATAAAGGACCTGATCGTTCCACCCTGTGTGTTTTCAGGTGGGGAGGGGTTTAATCCATGAATATTTGCACTGAAATAAATCTGTTCACCTGCAAAGTGCTACACTATTTTGCTTCTCCGTGTGTCTTTGATGGCTGAGACAGACTAAACATGGCTCTCTTTTTTTCTTGGAAACTGATTTTGTTTTCAGTGTTTTAGAATTATTTTTCTGAGCAGTTTTTAAACATATTGTTATGGGTTCAATTGATTTTTAATGTTATTATTTGTGAGGTTGTTAATATCAGTTGTTTTTTTTTCAAGTGTTTATGGGCTGCCTTATGTCCGTAGACTGTGATAAAAGCATAGAAGCTAATAAATAAATAATGGAGGAGGATGGGCTTCCTCCATGAGGAGAGAAACTCCTGTTCAGGGGCAGACTCTGCATCCAAGCAAGAACTTGGATTGTCGAGTTTTCTGATCTCTCTCCTGCAGGAGGACTTATCCTGCACCCTCTAGACTCGACTGATGTCTTGCCCTTCCCCTGTAGCCTCCCAAGGTTCTCCAGGAGGTCATGGCGACTTACTCATGGGCAACACCATCACTGGACACCTCCCTGGGTTCGGTGAAAGCTCTTTGTTCCGTTCGAAAAAAGGTTGAAGCCCATCTTCTGAGCTTGAGTTACTAACTCTCTGAATTGGAAGGCTAACCTTAGGGGTTTTTCCACTTTTTTGGCTTTAAGGGCCCCTTCCCTGCCTCTCCTCCCCCAAAACTGGAATGTTTCTGAGGGGCTTCTCAGAAAATGAATTTGGCTCTCGAGCTGAAAGAGGTCTCTTCCCCCCCCCCGCCCACTTCAAGTTCAGAGAGTCAAACACCACCTTCTACTTGTATATCCCCCCACTTGTTTACTTTCCTAATTTCATGGCAGACACTTAATATCTATACCCATTAAATACCCAGCCATTCCCCATTCTCAGATCTTGAAAATAAGGAGTTACTGTACTGATGATGTTTCCAATTTCTGCTGATGTCACAGAAAAAAGGTGAGAAGCTGGAGCTATTTTTGCAGCGGTAAGAGGGGGAAAAAAAGTGGAAAAACAAAATTTATCATTATGAGGGAGAATAACAACTGTAAATGCCCATATTTTAGCAAAATTATTATTTTATTCCAAGATATACCTGTACAATCAAAAATGAAAAAGATAAAATTTAGCAGGAAAAAAACTCTTGGAAAAAATTATGTGAGGAAAAAGGAAGAACAGTAAGATTCATAAATTCTGCAAATTAGCAACCAAGCATAAAAGGATTATCAATATTGCAATTAATGAAATATTATGAAGCTTTTCAGATAGCTTAAGTAGTCAACTTTTTTTATTTTATACCCCTGAATGAGCTCAGATGGAAGAGGAAGGGGAAATAAACCCAATTAAGGCACAGCTATACACATCTCGGTTGGTGAGAAATAGGACTCAGTTACAGAACCTTTTTATTATAGAAGCAATGAGGACATGGAGAAGAAATGTGGAAATTCCTGCCCCTCCAATATCCCCCTCGTGTCCTTCTCCAGAACACTCTCAGTTTAAATCTAAGGATAAACATCTTCAGTTTAAAATTTGGGAGAACACAGGAATTTATAGAATAAAAGATCTGTTTGTACAAGGAAACCCAAGTACAATTAGTCCGTCACAAGAAAAAATTACAGAAACAGCAACTAACTAATCAAGTAGTTGATTGAAGTCAACTTGAAGTTGGGCCCTCCAAGATTCAAGGCTGAGTGTGTGTTCCCCAAGGATCTCGGGAAGCCATCGGACTACCTTACTACTCCTGAGCTTCAAAGGGTCTTTGCAGAGTGTACAAAAATTGGAAAATACACAGAAGTATGTTAATTTCAGTGGTGGTATATAAAATCCAGCATAATGTTGACCAGTGGCTCAATTGACATTCATCTGATCAAGCTCTTTCACCTTAGGATTCCAAAAATAACTGCTACTTTGTTTTTTATATTTATGTTCCAACACGACCTTCTTTTATTAGAATATATTATTTACATTTATTTATTCGTGAACTCTGATCTTCTTTATTTATTGTTATTTAATGTTCTTAAACTCTGATCAAGAACAAGATTTGGATCTCTTGTAGATGTACAGTAGAACTCCCATATCCACGGGATCAGTATTCACTAATTCACTTATCCACAGTTTGAAAATCTTAAAAATCTTAAAAGAAAAATCCTAGAAATCTATATTTCTAAAGAGGAAGTTACAAGAACCGGCCACTAAAGAGAGCCAGAGGCCGTGCTATGCACAGAGATTGCTATTAAAATATTGTTCTCTATAATTCATGTTTATCAGCATTTGTGGGGTGGCGGCTTGGAAGCGCTTCCCTCTGGATGTGGGCCTTCATTTTTGCTGGCGCTGCTTCAGTGACACCTTAAAGGGCGATGGAACCATGACACCGCCAAACTGGGGTGTGCAATCCGGCGCGCTTGACTCATCCGGCCAGGAGACCTGGAAGTTTCTCAGCATGCTGGTGAAGAACAGGAACAACTCCATCCGAGCCAGATTCTCCCCTAAGCAAACCCTTGGGCCTGGAAGGGAGAAAAGAGAAAGGGGACGTCAGCTCCAGGACAACAAGGCTGGTGATGGCTAGAGATGAGATGAGAGGCAGAAGCAGAGGGAGACTCCACTTGGTCCTCTGCACTGAAGGCCCTGCACGGCAGGGCTGTTGTGCTGTTTGTAGCCAGGTAACAGTCATTCCATCCTGCTAGGAATAAAGAAGCAGCAAGGAAGCCCTGCCATTCCGCTCGTCCTCTCGAGAGAAAAGCTCTCTGATCTCCTGCCGTGCGGCAACTCTTTCTGACAGGAAAAGGACCAGGATTTAAGCATCAGACTGGGTGCTTGTCTTGGCTTTTTCCTCCTCTTCCCTCCCCGTTCATTTTTCCTTCTTTGCCACTATGTTCCTTTAGGGAGGGAGGAACTGAGTCAGCATGTCAGGAGCTCTTTTGGAGTAAAAATGTTGATGGAAAGATAAGAAAGGGGAAAAAAACTAGGAAATAGATATGCTTCCTAGTCTTTCCACCAGCAGAGATGTGACCTCCCAGAAGTTAAATCTATAGTCACATGATGGATCACTTTTCCTTTATTTTTTCCTTTATTTCCTTTATGAAATGATAAAACAAGAGAAGAAGGGGGGGGAGAGAGACAGAGAGAGAGAGAGAAAGGCAGAGGATTTACCTGCTGAAAAAGCTAAAAAGGCTTCCGGCTTCACAAACTCTCCCTTTTCATTCAGAAAGTTAGAAGGGTCGAATTTATTTGGGGACTTCCAGAGGGACTCATCATGATTGATAGCGTGAATATTAATCACCACTGCTGTTCCCTACAAAAAACCGAAGGGACTGTATTACACAGAAAGACATGAACATGACTGGCCAGATGCCTGAGAGGGACACTCACCAGCTTAATCCACTGGTGAAACTTTCAGTGGCCAGTTGCATCAACATAGGTATTGCCTGTCAAATGTACATTTTTCTCCGGAAAGGCATATCTATTCTGACTTATGGGGATTACCATGGGCATAAATATGCAGTAGGCTTCTGACTTTTCTTAAAAGGGCAACAGGAGACACTGATTTGCATAGAATTTGCATGTGCTGAGTTATAAGTATTGATGCCAATTTAGAAATAATGGGTATAGTTTAAATACAGATATGTCTCAACATGGGCAAGACAGCCTGTAGCCCATCTGTTTGGCCAGCCCACAAGTAGAGATGCAACATTATTTGTGTGTGTGTGTGTTTTTCTCTTGGGTTACAAATCCCAGAATTCTCTTGTTGGGGAATCGCATCTGATGGACAAAGCACACGCCTGTATATGTGGCTCAACTGAGAGAAAAGCCTATGCCAGAAGTCTTCATGGCCCTAGTTTAGGCCAAGCTGTGCCTAACTTCCTGTTCAGAAAGCAAGCTGTGCCAGTGCTAGTTTGGAAAGGGTTTTGGAGTTGTAGCCCATCGGGAGTTTGGGTTAAGCCGGAGGGGAAGGGCTTCCTCCCAAACGCTGCTGGGGTGCACCTCCCGTGTCCTTCCCATGAGCCACACTCTTCCCCCCCCAATCTGGGAGCACAGCCAAAACAAAGGTAATGGAACTTGAGATAAATTCTTATCAATAGGAATGTCTTCTTGCCAAGAGTACAAAGCCCAGATCAATGCTATGTCGTTTCCCTTCATCTTTATGCAATACAGCGTCTCTCTTGCATGCAGTTTAGTAGCAGCTCCCTAGCCTAGCATGGAGAGCTCAAACAGAACATCTGTTTGTTTGTTTGGGGTTATTTATAATTATTATTTGGACTCCCAACCCCATAATTCTCTACCTGGCATGCCAAGCATGACTCTGCTCCATGCAACAGGTTCCCATGATTATGAACAGCCACTTCTGTTCTCTTGTTTCTCCCCTAGTCTCTGACTGTGTTTAAGTCTAAGGGTTTGTAGGCCAGAACCTTTGCAGATTCCTCATCCTTAATGTAAGAGATGGGTGAAAATGATCCATTTGGAAGGAGCGACTCCCGCTTGGCTTTATGAGTCATGCTCAAACATGTCTGGTCTTACCTTGGGAATTACATATCCAGAAAGCTGCATGTCTTTGATTGGGGCATGGGCTAGCCCCAAGGGCACCACACTTGAAAATCGCAGGATTTCATGAATGACGGCGTTTGTGTAAGGCAACCTTTCCCGATCATCACATTTCAAGCATGCATTGTTGCCAAGAACAGCATCCATTTCCTGCTGGCATTTCTCTGAGGAGCAAAATCTCAGTCACTTATCTCATGTAAGAGGACACCAATGTAGACTTTAATATGGCATATGTTGTCACAGGTGGTAAATCCATAGCCTGTTGAGAGCAGCCCAGCTAAACAGCTGTGGGGGTGGTTAAACCCTTCCAGGGTCAGACTGAAGTTTCCTCTTCTCCAGGATGGACAGCCTGATCTATGTATTGTTTATTTATTGATAGTTTTTCTATGGCTCCTTCCTCCCCATGGGTGACTCAAGTCACAGCAATTAAAACGGAACCAGGCTCACAAGTTGAAAATACAATACAATAGCTTTATTACAAACAATTAAACGTTAGTCAATGTGAAAACTCAGATTTAAACTAATTTAAAAAACCATTAAGAAAACTTTAAATTTAATAATTGCTCATTCCCTAGACCAACCATTCTCCACGATTGAGCCTCAGACCTTTGGGGCACCAAATTGTGTTCTCCACCCATTCGGCCTTCAAGCTTGCTCAGCATTTAAGATCACTCACAAAAGCTTTCCTTCATTTTGTTTGGTCAAGACCACTGTTATTTCCTACCTTGGATCTCTGGATAGGCCATCATGTAGAGCAATCCCCACTGGAGAGTTCTTGCGGTCGTTTCTGACCCAGCCAAGAATAGATCAGACACAACGATGAGCAAGTTCTCATCGTCAAAACTCAATCCTTTCTTTTCTGGCTTTTGTTCATTGGGAAATTGAAGATTGGAAAAGTTAATTCAGAGTCATAGGGATTGATTACATCAAGGTTGCCTCCCTTCCCTCCTTCAATCCTTTTCTTTTCTTTTCTTTTCTTTTCTTTTCTTTTCTTTTCTTTTCTTTTCTTTTCTTTTCTTTTCTTTTCTTTTCTTTTCTTTTCTTTTCTTTTCTTTTCTTTTCTTTTCTTTTCTTTTCTTTTCTTTTCTTTTCTTTTCTTTTCTTTTCTTTTCTTTTCTTTTCTTTTCTTTTCTTTTCTTTTCTTTTCTTTTCTTTTCTTTTCTTTTCTTTTCTTTTCTTTTCGAATACAAGGAGCATCCTTTCTAAATACAGGCTAAATACATTACTGAGTGTAGTCATATCTAGATGGAACAGATTCAAGGGAAGAACCTTCTCTCCCATTCATTATGCTTGGAGCAAAGATCTGACGGTCAAATACCTTTTGCATTTCGTCTAGATATGCATCAATAAAATCTCGGTGCTCTCCCGGGACAAAGGTTGCCTTGTGTTCATCCAGCTCTTTTGTGAGGAAAGCAAAGACCTTCTGGACATTTTCTAATATAGTTTTGTGGGGCAGAGGGAGCCGTCTCAACAGTGGGACTTCATTGTAAAGCTATCAGAAAGCAAACAAAACAGGTAAAGAATAGAAGAAAAAAAGAAACAAGGAAACTTAAATTATGCAGGTGTAAACCAAGACAGACGTCCACAGACTCCCATTAAGAAGATGTTGGTTCTCCTACTCAGTAATATAAACCGGGTGTTCTAATGCAGGGTCGTTCACCTGATGGTTCTGGGACCACTTTTGGCTACAGATCATATCCGGTCCCTTAGGATGGACCAGGCTTGCATTTAGCCCAGCTTCAGCTAGACGAGGGTCAGCTCACCTGGCCCTTAGATCAGCTTGGCTGGTCAAAATTGTGCTTTTACATTGTCTAGTTGGCTTTACCAGTGCCCAGGGTCCTGTCGAAAGTTTCAAGTTCAGATGGAGCAGGTCCAGCACTTTCCGGAGGGTGGCATCATCATATTCGAAACGTTTCCCAAATACAATGCTAGATATTATGTTCGTCACTGCACGGTCCGTGAAACATAAGGGGTCAAAAGGAGCTCCTGTAACATAAGACAACAGAAAAATTAAGGGCTTTTTATTTAATGTGTTCCTCCCAATGCATTATCCTCAACGTCCTGATTTCAACAACCCAAATATCTGTTCTGGGACTTTCCATGGTGGCTATGGAGAGGCCTGCTTTTCCTCTGTCCACCTACAACCTTTGTCCCCATCGTCAGTAGGCCAGAAAACTGAGCATGTTCCTGGAAGACTCCAACTGAACCCACGAAACTCCACAACAATGCCGTTCTTGTGAGTTCCAAACAGCCGCGTCCCCGTTCAAGGCTGCGTCCAGCCTGGAAAAGAACCCCAGCAGGTGGGAGGGAGGAGAAACGCTTGCTGCTTTCTCACCTTTATTAATCTCCTCTTTCTCTAACCCTCAGTTGCCTCACCTCATCCCATAAATCCTGAACAGAACCATGTCCTAGACACAAAGGCCAGTATTAAGAGTATTAGTTGAAAGAGCAGAGTGATTTCCTCCTCAGATTATCAAATCCTCCACACATCCTGTCGGCACCGGGTGAAGAGGTGGTTCCATCGCCCATGGATGTGGATTAGTTTGACAGACCTTTGTTACTGGAGAATTTAATTGAACCCTTCCACTTCCCTTCTACTTCCCTATTATTTCCATTCAAGTGAGGACTTGGCTTAGTCTTTTACTTATTGACTTTATGGAGTTTCATTCATTCCAGATATGGCAGCCCCACCTGTTTCTTTACTCTTAACAAGCTGGGTTGCTATGGGGTGAGCAGAGCTGAGATTCCCTTGACATCAGTAGCGATGACATCGGTGGGAGGGAAAGAGAGAAGATGGAGAATGGGGAGGGCATGAGAACGAAGGAGAAGTGGGAGGCAGAGATGGGGACTTGAGTCATGACACTTGCAATCCCGTTGCACTTAACTCACACGGGAGGGTCAGCTTGTACTCAATTCGAGGTGTTTCCCTCCCCCAAATGACTTGGATTTGTCTTGAGACCTGGAACGCACCCACCCCTCTTTTTACCTTCTAGAACCGAGTTTAGATGAGATCTCCTTCAACCCAGCTTCTTGTACAGAGGCTTGCTAACATCCAGGAACTCTCTTCTCTCTCTCCTCTCTCTCTCTCTCTCTCTCTCTCTCCATAGAAACTGAACGAAGTCTTGGCCCAGCCCCTTGTGTGCTCCCAACTCCCAGGACAAGCAGAGAGTTGGCTTAAATCCCAACTCATTCAACAGGAAGGAGTGAGTATCCAGCCTATCTTTTCCCGGCCAAACCTTACTCATGTTTTCTGTAAATGCTTGAATCAAATACGCCACTTCTGCCAGGATTCTCTCCTCCATCGACTTCTTGCCCAGCCCAAAATTCCGGAGAACCATCAGAGAAAACCTCCGCTGTTCCTTCCAGGCCTGGCCATAGGGCGCCATGATTATTCCTTCAGGAGAACAAGGGAGACAAGAACAGATGAGATCACACCCTTCCAGCAATGAACCTTTGCACCTTCGAAATTTGAGTGCCCTGGTAGAAAAGGGCAAAACCGATTGCATTACATAACACACAGCTTGGTGTAGGGTTATTACCCTTCTGCTTGTGCATCTCCTGCTGTCTCTGACCTCGAATCCTGGAAGGAAGATTTCTCACAGAATAAACTGATAAATGAATTATGCCCATGCATTGAGCCGTGAAAGAAAAGTAGATGTGAACTTATCTTCAGATACCTTTTTTCTTACTGGTAAAATCAGTAATAGGATTCTCTGGCCTCCCAGCAAATTCAGTTCCTTTAGTCAACAGGACTTCTTTAGCAAGTCTCACGTCTCGAATAAGCAACATAGTTGTCTGCCCTGAATGAAAAGTCATGACGGGGCCGTATTGTTTTCCTATCTGAAAGGAAATAGTCAGTGATTAGCATGGTAGAAGAGTCCAATTTCTACATGACAGGTTAGTTAGCCACTAGAAGTAGCACACCATGTATTGTACATGTTGAACACAATGCTCTCTATCCTGAACCATTTTTCCTTCTTGATAAAATCAATATGTAATAGGATTGTCTGGCCTCCCAGCAAATTTAGTTCCTCTAGGCAACAGAATTTCTTTTGCAAGTGTCAAGTCTTGAGTAAAAACCACAGGTTTTCTCTCAGGATATAAACTGACAACAGGTCCATATTGTTTAGTTAACTGAAAGGAAATAGTGAGTGACGCTTAGTTAGCTACAAGAAGTAGCACACCACTTATGGAACATGCTGAACACAATATTCTCTATCCCAAGAGGGAATATTTGAACCTTCTGCAAAAGAACCAACTCTACACAAGTATTATTCTATTATGTCCCCCACATTCAGCTGATTAACCCATGGCAGTCCCCTTCTCGTTTCATCTTCACCTGGTGGTAGGATTGGAAAAGGCCCCTTACCTTTTGCAAATACTTCAGGGGATTTCGAAAACTCATTTGAAACACATTGCCAACGAAAGGGAGAGGTCGTGGTCCTGGAGGGAAATCTTTGGGACTTCCACGCTTCCAGAAATAGTAGAGGATGATGGATAGCACCAGCAGCCAGCTGAAAAACTCCATGGCCAAGGCAATCACAGACTCTGTGGTTGTTTGTGGCAGCTTTCCGGAAGCGAGGAGAAAGCTGAGGGCTGTTCTCTCTTGTCTGAGTGAACGGAAACCTGTCCCTTTTTTTTAAAATGAAGGCGGCTGTTCGTCAACAGAAAACTTTATTTCCGCCCGGGGGAAAGGTTGAGCACGACAATAAGGGTGTGTCTGAACAGGGCTGGCATTCTGCTTTCAAGAGCTAATTCATCCCACCAGAACAGGATATGTGTCACCAGGATACCAAATGACAAAAGTGTGGGTGAAATTGTTGCAGAACTACGACAGGATACAGAAAGTTAAAAATATAGTTGAAGGGCGAGCCTTAGGTTTATAGAGAGGGAAGGCAAAGAGAGGGAAAATTATTTTTAACCTAATTTCATGGTTCTCCAATTTGGAGTGCCAGAGGTGTCAGGACCACAATGTCCAGGAGAATCACACGCCTGGCTTTAGATATTATGGACCTTATCTTTGTTTGGGAAGGGGGAAGCACCGTTAGCAGCAGCTTTGCCTTCGACTACAAAATGTCTCTATGGGTGTAATTTCCCTGAATTTTGCATCACCTCTCCACCTTCCTTCCCAACTTCCCAGAGTTTGGAACAGTTAGTTTTTGGAAGACAGTTCCCAACTAAATGCTGGCTGGAGGATTCTGTACTCAAAAAAAAAAAAGAAAGAAAGAAAAGAAAAGAAAAGAAAAGAAAGGAAAAAAAGAATAGAAATTGCAACATTTCCACAGTCTGATTTATTGATCTTACGAAGGACTGCATGTCATGACAATCTAGAATACCATGGGTTGTGTAGATACGTAGAGGTCGCTGGATTTGGACTGGAGATGGTCATGAATTAAAAAATGAATAATCAAGTTCATTCCAAAAATTGCTAATTCGTTGCAAGATCCCAAATCTCCTCTGTTCTGGGATTTTTCCATGTTGGCTACGGAGAGGCTTGCTTTACCTATGCCCACCCGCAGCCTTTCTCCCCATCTTCAGTAGGCCAGAAAACTGAATATGTTCCTGGAAGGCTCCATTCAAACCCACGAAGCTCTTGAGAATTCCAAATAGACGCGTTCCTGGTTCAAGGCTGCATCCAGTCCGGAAAAGGAGCCCAGCATTTGGGAGGAGGGAGAAATGCTTGGTTCTTTCTCACCGTTATTAAACTCCTTTTACTTTCACCCTCATCCCATAAATCACGAGCAGAACCATGTCCTAGACCCAAAAGCCAATATTAAGCATATTAGATGAAAGAGCAGCGGATCGGGGGTTGACAACCTCTAGACTAGCAGAAACTACCTACTATTAATTGAGAGAGATCAGAATTGTGTTGGAGAACATGCGCGGCCATAAAGGAACATGGGAACGCACATAGTTTGTTTGCTTGAAAGTAGAAATATTCGAGGTCAGGGCAATTAATTGGCTAGAAGAAAGAACAAATTTTTTAAAAATTGTTCCAAATGAAACCTTATTATGATTCTCACTGTTTGCTGGAGGAAACGAAAATGTACCAGATAAAGAATTGGTGGTAACTCTTAGATTGGCACTGGGGAATGAAATTGCCCTGGGTTGGAAAGATGTTGAGGGCCTTACTTTGCAAAGAATAAAATATGGGCAATGCCGCTGATGGAGAAACTGACTCATCAGGTCACCTTGTAGAGAGGGGAGATGAAAAGAGATAACTTTATGGCGATACGCCCCCCCCCCCCGTAATGGAGAAACTGTAATGAACCAAAGAAGAGAGTATGTGAAAGCATAAAGAGATATTGTAAACAGTGTGTATATATGAATGTATGAGAGGTTATAAAGAAGAAGTTTACCATCATTGTAATACAATAGGTATTGTTTGCTTACACTGTTATGTCATAAAGGCATTAACTAGACATAAAAATGTTGTAATGAACCAAGGAGGAGAGTATGTGAAAACATAAAGAGATATTGTAAACAGTGTGTATATATGAATGTATGAGAGGTTATAAAGAAGAAGTTTACCATCATTGTAATACAATAGGTATTGTTTGCTTACACTGTTATGTCATAAAAATCTCTACAGATTGGCCTAAAAGGAATGAAATAATTCTAGGCGATAGCAAACCGAGGTGTATGTACTAGCGTGGTCACTCCTCCAACGCATGGTCAAAACACTGGCTGTGGAGAACGAGGACCATCTCAAAGGAGGAGATGATTCAGAATTTTCACAATTCACCAAATAGAAACAAATATATGCAAAGATCAGCATGACTAAACATTAAAGCGGAAATATTGTACGGCTCACCCTATTGCACAAGACTGTGATTAAGTAACCACACAATGTTGAAAGAGGAGACTGAAAGCAAATAAATAAAGCATAGTGTTCAATAATTCTCTGAAACATGCTGTACCTTGTATTTTCTGCAATTTACTGAAAATGAAAATCAATAGAAAGAAAATTGGTAGAGGTCACAGTACTTTTCTTCGAATATCTAGCTAGGCAACAATCAGTTATTTCAGAGGGATGGTCTGAGCTCTGCGCTCTGTGTAAATTCCATCAGTCAAAAGTTTATTGGAGTAATGATTATCATCCAAATCCAAGAGTACACATTTTAAAGTCAAGTATGGTGGACAGTTAATAATGGAAAGGGACAATTCCATTTGTTAGCGTTATTTTTTAAAATAGCTGATTGAAGTCAACTTGAAGTTGGGCCCTCCAAGATGCAAGGCTAAGTCGGTGTTCCCCAAGGATCTCAGGAAATCATCAGCCTGCCCTATTTATTGTAATCAAATGTTCTTAAACTCTGATCGATTGAGAACAAGATTTGGATCTCTTGTAGAGGTACAGTAGAACACCCATATCCACCGGATAAGTATTCACTAATTCATTTATTCTCAGTTTGAAAACCTGCAAAATATCAAAAGAAAAATCCTAGAAATCTATAATTCTAATAATGAAGTTACAATAACTAGCCACTAGAGAAAATCAGAGGCCATGTTATGCAGAGAGATTGTTATTAAAATAGTGTTCTCTATAATCCATGTTTATCAGCATCGGTGGGATGGGGGCTTGGAACCCATTCCCTCTGGATGTGGGCATCCTCTTCAGTTTATTTTTGCTGACGCTGCTTCAGTGACACCTTAAAGGGCAATGGAGCCAGAGTGACACCAAACTGGGGTGTGCAATCCGGCGCACTTGACTCATCCGGCCAGGAGACCTGGAAGTTTCTCAGCATGCTGGTGAAGAACAGGAACAACTCCATCCGAGCCAGATTCTCCCCTAAGCAAACCCTTGGGCCTGGAAGGGAGAAAAGAGAAAGGGGACGTCAGCTCCAGGACAACAAGGCTGGTGATGGCTAGAGATGAGATGAGAGGCAGAAGCAGAGGGAGACTCCACTTGGTCCTCTGCACTGAAGGCCCTGCACGGCAGGGCTGTTGTGCTGTTTGTAGCCAGGTAACAGTCATTCCATCCTGCTAGGAATAAAGAAGCAGCAAGGAAGCCCTGCCATTCCGCTCGTCCTCTCGAGAGAAAAGCTCTCTGATCTCCTGCCGTGCGGCAACTCTTTCTGACAGGAAAAGGACCAGGATTTAAGCATCAGACTGGGTGCTTGTCTT